GGCTGGAGGGGAGAAGGACCAGGCACTCGAACCCAAGAACTGGGACCACCTGACAGGATCTGGGATATAATAGGGCATATCCAAAGCAAAGACAGATGCTACCCACAGAGGTCCTGGTGCCTCCTTCTTCTCACTCTCAGATCATGTCTTGCATTTATTCCCTACGGACCAAACATCTCGGGTGTCTTTAGTGATGGTGGCTAGAAATTGTGATCCCCGGAAACCAAAACAACACCCACAGGAGAGAATCTGGAAGTAGAAGGGGACCAGCAGAGGGGATGTCTGTGAGTTAGAGGTGTACTCCAGAGGAGGAGAAAGAGCTTGCCTAGTTTGCACAAGGCCCTGAAATTTTTGGTTGGTTTTGTTTTTAAATAAGCTCCACAAAACCTAAACAAAAATGGAACCCGGGTGGAGTGAGGTCTGGGGTGTTGCAGCCAGTGACCTGGTGTTCAGTGACAGCTCCATCTGCAGATCAGGTAGTACTTTGTTACAAAATGAAGGGGGGAGGGGCGGGGGTGAGCTGACTGTAAGATGGGAGGTGGCCAGGAGCCAACTTGTCCAGGAGGAAGGCGCCTCAGGTTAGCGATAAGGTGGTGTGCTGCTCCACACTCCTGGAGCCAGGCAAGGTTTGTCTCTGAGATTTGGTGACCACAGAGACCAGGGGAAGAAATGGTGAGATTGTCTCTAGGTTCTGGCCAGTGAGTGACAGTGCTGGACTAGATTCCACGCCCATCTGTTGTGTTTTACCCACTACTCACCTTGCGCTCCCCACCCCCATCTAACAACCAAGACTCCTTCCTGGTGGATGACTGAAACCTTAGGTAACGTTGCACCTTAAATGCAGGGTCTTTTTGTTTACATGCATACCTATGGTAAGTATTCGTCTTTTCATGTAAGGGAAGTGCTTTCATTAGCATGTTTGAGTTGCCAGCATCTCTCCTTTTGTATTTGGGGGGTATTATTAAGTAAAACAAGAATTATTTGAATTCACCACTGCAATGCCATGACAACCACTCTGATGGCTACTGACTAATGGAAAGGAGGTAGTGTGTATGGCATGGATAAGCCAGACAGAGAGATGATTTGTGTCCTGCACAGGACAGAGAAGGATGGTGTAAAATGCAAAGAAAAACCTATGAATTGTCTTCTTTTGGAAGAATATTTCTTTTAATAATTTTTGGTTCACATTTATCTGAACATACCTGAAAACATGGAAATGGATTGGGGGAGGGGGCATGTTGCACAGTAGTGCTCAGCCTCACTGGTTTCATAAGGGCATTCAATGTGCTCACAGGCAGTATCCATAACCCAGTAACCCTGGTCCATACTTTTACTCTATTAACATTTCTGGTTTCAATGCATTTTCTACCAAGTGTCACATTTTCTGCCAATTACATTTAATCAGTGGGGTTTTTGGTTTCTATCACTGATTTTCAGATTTAAGTTCTAATTTAGATTTTCTGGTCACAGCTGCTTTTAGAGAATTCTCATTACAAGTGGGGAGAAATATTCCATTGTGAAGTTCATTGACCCCAGAGTCCAGCTTGTGGGCAACCGGATTTCACAATATTCCCATCTCAGATTCTTTCTTGTAGCTCTCTTCATAAGTGTCTCTGGCAGTGCTCCCATGACTTAGAAGGCTGGCCATAAAGCCAGTAATTGAATTGCAGCCCTTGTTAGTTAATGGGGGTCAAGGCAGCAGTTCTAAATAATGCAACTTGGTGTGTTACTCAGAGGTTCCCGGAAAGCTTTTGTTTTTTTCCTGTGATTTTTCGCTTTCCACTCTAAAGCAGTCAACAGCAATGGCCTTGTTCAGCTCATGAACAAACAGTAAATCGTTAGTCTTCTAGAACTAAGCCCTCTGCCGGTGTCTTTTCAGAAGTCTTCTGGAAGTTGCCCAGGTTGGGGAGTCTGAATCTAAATTTAAACGTTTTAAAGTAAATACCTGATTATTGGTGTGAAGATGTAAGCATCTTCAATGTAGGAAAATATTGATAAGCAGTGCCTGATGGTGCTACTTTAGGCGGCTGAGGCAGGAGGATTTGCTGTTCACAGACGAACTTAGTGAGACCCTATCTCAAAGTAAAAGGTAATATAAAAAAGCAAATAACAACAAAACAGTGTCAATGAAAACAAAAGAAGGCTTGGATAGAGTTCCAGCGGTGGAATGCTTGTCTAGAATGAGGCTCTAAATTTAATCACCAGTTAAAACAAAGAAAACTACAACAGAATGTTGTGATCATATGTCACTTGACTAAAGATGCAGTCAGGAAAACTGATACAGCTTCATGTCAAGATAATCTTGAATAAGCTTAAGTGCGAAATCACGCAGTTCTCACACCGCAAAAATACGTAGATCTGTTCATATTACCAGAGTATAGTTATTTCTTGGTAAGGCTTTAACCCCATGGAAGCACAGAATAAGGAATCTTACTCACTTTAGGGGTACTAGAAGGAATTCCTAGAGAAAGTGTCCCCTGCAGTTGGTCTTGGAGAATGGTTGGGTTTTATGTGCAGGGTACGTAGATGTCTGGCCCCATTTCCCATGAGTCTCAGCACTTACTGCATTGGGCCACCCCTCCAGCTGCACTGTTGTGCCTGTTGTATCCAGTTTGTTAAGGACTTCCCCAACTTTTGCCTGAAAGTTGAGACTGTTTACCTTCGTTCACTGCCTCCCAGGCAATGTTCCCAGCTGCCCTTTGCTCATGTCAGCTTCCTCTCACCATCTTGAACTCCTTATGGGGCCAGCCCTGCTGCTTATACCCAGTGGAGGATCACGACTTAGTGAGTTGATTAATAGTTGCCTGTTATTTTATAGATGGCACGAAGCACAGGTTGCTGAGATGGCTTACCAGAGATTGTGTGACAGTAGAGGGTCTAGCATCTAAGCCTAGCTCCGTGTCTTCCAAGGTGCATTTTCAAACTACCCAACATGCCTCTTTGAGGGTCCCCTTAACACAGGATTTGACCTGGCTTAAAAGGGTCTTGTGGTGCCCTCTGCTGGTGTCACTAACTTCAGCCAGGCTCTCAGGCGGGACCCCTGCCTTCCCTTGTGTGACCCACACAAGCAAGACCTTTATTACTACTCAGTCTGCAGTCAGTTCTTGCCTGTGAATGGATACTTCACTGTCTGCTTCATTTAGGATTCTAAAGTATGGAAATAAGTACACTCCCACGTTGCTGAGGATGGATGGATGATCTCATAACCCGTGGCCCCTTTCAGACAGTTACAATCTCAGGGAGAGGTTTCACGACTCTGCTCCTGTGCTTATTCTCATGCAACCCACAGCTCCTCCCCACCCCCATGCTCTCACTCGCTGTCTTCTCCATTAGGATTCTGCACTGCAGGGGGCACAGTAGGCCATCAGTATTCCTATTAGTGAAGTGCTGACAGGCTGCATCAGTGGGGGGCTGGGCTCCCTCTTCCCAGGTGGCATGAACCCTTAATCTGCTTTCCTCTGGCACTGCCTGACAATCCTTCCTCATTGGGCATGATACAGGGGCCAAAAGGAAAAGAAAGTGGTGTGTGTGCAGGAGCAGGTAGGACAGACTGCTCTTCACGCAAGATCAATTTCAACTTGACACGGTAAACTAAATACAATCTAACCCTAGATTCTCTCTGCAGTTTCCTCTTCCTGCCTTGACTATTTCTTGGAGGTAATGACCTTGACTGGAATCTTTAAAAAAACAAACAAACTGGGATTTGATTTGTCGAGGTCAGGAGGTACTGGAATTGGAGTCAGATGCCCAGAGTGCCGATCCCAGCTGTGCCTCTGTCTACCTAAATGCAAGCTTCGACAGGACAGCAGCATGACCACCAGACAAATGCCTCATCTGCCCGTGTGGCCATGCAATTGTCTGTCTGTACAGCAGAGTTCATTCTGATGGCCTCAGACGTGTAAGATACCCAATGATGCTGTGAAGACCTCAGCACAGAGCCCATATCTACACTTGATCTTAGTCGAAGGCCTAGAAACAATATGAGCACTGCCGGAACAGGGCCCTTTTGTAGTTTCATAATCTGTCACACAATTATTAATTCATTTATCGGGACTAGAATGGCCATGGCATTTAAGCCACCCAGTGAAGACTGAGAAAGGCTGAGCCAGACTTGTCCGATGGCAAAGATTAAAGATGCAGTGTTTTCACTTTTGGGAAGTAAATAGTGCCTCAGGAAGGCCTGGGGAAGGGCAGGGGGAATGGGCGCAGGTGTGTACAGGGGTTTGGATGCAAGCGGGAAGACGGTATTTATTCAAATGCCTGTGTCTGAGTTTCTGATACTCCATGTGTCTGCAACATCACTTGGTGGACAGGTAGAGCTTTCTGGGTGCCTTTGCACAGAACCTTTCCTCAAGCTTGCTTCCCTGGCTTGGTGTGTTGGGCCATGAGTGCCTGTAGCACTGTATGGCTCTCTCAATTGGGATTCTGAGGTGTGTTATAGCCTTCCGGAGACACTTGATCTCTGTCAGAATTCCCAGGAGTCCACTAACCCAGCTCCCTGCTCATTGCAGGCTGGTGCTTCAGCAGGCATGCATGGAAGTTGCTGTGGGGTCAGGGCTTGAAAATAAAAGACCCCTCCCAGTTCTCACAGAGAACAAGGTCTCACCATTTCTGCCCCAGCATTCGCTCAGGGTTTCAGGAGTTGGCCACCGTGTTGAATGTATATCCCTAGCTGTCGTTTTCATTTTTCATATTAGGAATATATAGTTGCATTCCTTCCATTCTTGCTTTGATGAAAAGTAAATTTTAAAGTAATTCTTTAACTAATCAGCCCTGTCCTGGGGTGTTCCTTTTCCTTCCATTAGCAGTTGTTAGGTTGAACGATCAGCCTCTATAAAGGCGCCTTCTTGGGGACAATGGTTAAATGCCGGCTTTGTTTTGTGCTGCAGGCGGTAGCTGTGACTACGGATGTATGCAGCAGATGTGAAAGCCAGGCTGGAGTCCTTGGAGATGAAGGTCTGGAGCTGGGACCCACGGTCACGGGCTTGAATGGAGGTCTGAACCACCCCAAGAACATGACAACAGCCCAGGATGGCCATGGGCAGGGTGCCACAGCCACTTGTTCAGCCTCCAACCCGAAGGCCCCCAAAATGGTGACATCCTCAGCATGTCAGAATGGAAGTTGCAAAAGCAGCCCCAGCAGCGACTCGGAAGCCGCAGAAAGCAGGCTCAGCCCTTCCAAGCTGGCACGTCTTTTCTCGGGAAGTCGGAAGAAGATGAGTGCCCACCCTGAGAGGCCTCGCTCGGTGGTCCTCGTGGGGAATTCCTCCACGTGGAATGCCTTGGCCTCCTTCCGTAAAATGGGATCTTTTAAAAAGTTGAAATCCTCTGTTCTTCAAGGAATTCAGAACCGGGAGTGGGCAGATGTTTCTAAGGAAGAGGCAGCAGGAGACCCAGGAAGGACTGCTCCCAATGGCACCATCACCATCTTGGGAAGGGGCCTGGCCATGTGCCAATCCTTGGGCCCTGCAGTGGATGGAACCGGGTCTGACTGTTCGGACCCTGAAGACACGGAGGATGCCTTCCAGAGGAGCACGCACCGTTCACGCAGCATTCGCAGGGCCTATGGCCTGGGTCGCATCAGCCTGCTGGACCTGGGGCGGCAGCCAGCACCAGAGCCCGCCCTGTGTGAAATCCACGTGAGCGACCCTGAGCCCAGTGGCGCTGTCCCTCTACCACGCAGAAGCAAGAGCATCGACAGCTTGAGCATCCTGAAGAGCTCCTTCAAACGCAAGTCTGCATCCAACCTCACAGAACTGCCAGGCGACAGGCAGGTTCCCCCCAGGACCCTGAGCAGCTTATCTGCTGACTCCGAGAAGCCAGGTGGCTCCCAGAGGAGGACCAGACGCTGGAGGAGCCCCATCCGTGCCAAGGACTTTGACCGAGTCTTACGACTGGTGAGCAACGTCAAGGATGCGGCCTGGAAGAGGGAGGCCCCCAGGAGTGCAGCCCCCAGCCCCGGCCCAGGGGATGCGAACCCACCACTGGGACCACGCAGCAAGCTACACGATGACTACTCGCGCCACACCAGCAGCAGCGTGGAGCCAGATGTCAGGCGTGGTGGCCCTTTGTCCACACCCGGTGTCCCTGCACCATGCACTGTTGCAACCAACGTAGCTCAAGAACCCCACCTGGATGTGGACACCGCAGTATTCCCCCTGGAAACCAAAAGCGCTCAGCCCCTGGGAAATGATGAACCTCCTGCCAGCAGTCCCTCACCAAGTCTCACAGATCCTGAAGGGTTGAGCCAAGCCTCCAGTGAGGCAACTGCTGGCAGCCAGCTTCCCTTTGACCCTGTACAGCTTCCCACCCCTCTGAGGCCCACCACACCCAAGCCCCAAAGCCCTCAGAGCCCAGGGAGTACTAAATGCCCCAGTAGTGTAAGCGTGCTGTCCCTCAGTTCAGCAGACAGCGAAGAAAGGACAGAGGATACTGCCCACAGGCAGCTAGGACCTGTGCCCCTGCAGGATGCTGTGCGGACCACGGCTGGTGATGAGGGAAGACAAAGTAGTAACAGCTATTTTCCCATGAATCTCCATGGGGCAGCCAGTCCGGAAGAGAGGAAGGAGGAGGTAAGGGCCCAGATGCAATCCCTCTAGAGGGTGACAGTGTCAGGAAGGGTGCTTGTCTAGCAGTGTTCTGCCATTCACCCAGGGAGTTCCAAAGACTACTGGTTCTGTCTGTGCGAGATGGAAGTTGTTGAATTGGTTTACCTAGTTCTGGGGTGCTTTCTGATCTGCCACAGTGGTAGGTGCTTACTTGGCATGTACAAGGTACCAGGCTTGATCCCCAGCACCATGCTTCCCTAAAGGTAAACTTTATCTCGCTTAAATCCAATTGCTAATGAAAATGATTTGTTGATGTAGTGTTTATATTTACCACACCACTCACTGAAAAGATTTTTGAGTATCTACTATGTGCTGCTAGGCTCTGGAGGTTAGGAATTAATGAAACCACTAGAGTTTCTCAGAGTTTTCACATTTTGAAACTATTTTATTACCACGCATGATCTGTGTATTTGAAATTGTTTCTGTATCCTTTCCAACAGAGTGCTTGTAGATGCAGTTCTTTGTGTTAGAGAATGTTGCATGTCTTGAGTCTTTTATTTCCTAGGGATGAATTAGAAATGTGCAGCTCAGTACCTGTCAAACCCTGGATGATGCTTCTTCAAAGAGATTTTAATGATGACCATTGTACTTATTTTTAGGGTAGAGCTCCAAGCAGCTCATGGATCGAATCAGTGCATAGCTGTCAGAGCTACAAGAGCCATGTTCCCTTCACATCCTGTCAAACATCCAGACAATTTTACTTCACTGCACAAGCCTCGCTTTATAAGAACATTCAGTAATATCACCTTACATAGCTAGAAGACGAGTGTGCCCACGTGTGTGTTTTGTAAAATGTTCTCTGTATATTTTCCTAGACCATGTTATAGCTCTGAATTGGTGCTTGGAATAGGAGATTACCCCTTAGGAAATGGTCCCTCCCACTAAATCCTGGAGAGGACCAGCAGATGAATGATTGCACAGTTGGGCTTGCAAGCAGAAGCCAGGGCAGCCTGTGGATTAGCTGTTATAAATTTACTGAGAATGAGATCTTGCTCTGTAGCCCAGGCTGGCCTCAAAGTCATAGTCCCAGGTGCTGGGATTCAGATTGATGGGTACCACACTTCCATGCCTGGCAAATAGCTATTTTTGACCTTTGCTGGACAGAGACATTTAGATCATAGGGCCTTCAGGAAAGAACCTAGAAAGTAAATTACTATGTTAGACCCCCGAAAACTCAAGTATCCGGGGTCCCAGGCCACGTTCGCGGTCACCCCAATCACCAGGCAGATTCGAGAGCTTGCTGCAAACTGCACGAGGCTTTATTGTAATTTAACGAGCTAACCCCATGTTAGCTTGGGTCTTTCACCCACCCGCCATGGCGGACAGCTAGAAAAGATGGTTTGAAGCCGCTGCCTACAGATCTTTATAGGGCAGCGTAAGGGGAGTGTCTAGGGGTACGCGCAGGCTCACGATTGGTGTGCCTCCAGGCTTGGAGGGCTTGCCCTGTGTTGATTGGTCAACTGGTTGTTATGGCCCATAGGCCCTCCCAGGGTGGTTGCTATGCTCTGTGTGTCATTGCTGTGCGCTTGTCCGTAAAGCACACCCAGTGTCGTAAAGCATAGCGCCACCAGCTAACTTCTGATTGGTTCCTTGTCACGAGACAGGCATCTGACTTTCTAGTTTCTAGGACAAGGTCATAGAAGCACGTGTTCGGCCATTATGGCTGCCAAAAGGGAAGCCGGTTCCTTCAACTACAGAGTGCTTGGGGGAGATCCAAACCAGCTTTAAGGATACCCTGTCAGCAGAAGAGCAGCTACTTTGCTCTCTAGGCCCAGTATCGAAGATGTCCAGTATTGAAGATGATTTGTTCATTTGCATACTTAGAGAAGAAGTGTGACTCTCTTACAGGACACAGGCAGCCCTGGGAAGGAGTTTCAGCTCTGCTGACTTTGGAGGTTTTTATTGGCAAAAGGTTTTATCCAATCCTGAGCATGCTTGTCAGCTTTGTATCGGTACTGCAAAATGCTCAGGCCACTGGCTGGCTGTGGTTGCACACACAGTTAATCCCAGGGCCTAGGAGATGGAGGTAGGAGGACTGTGAAACCAACACCAGTCTGATACAACATGACTGCCTCAACAGTTTTGTTTCATTGATGGTTGTACTGGTTGAGATCAAAGACTGGGTAGCCGTGTTGGTTTGGCCCTCTGACAAGGGTTGCATATTGTGGCCTGGAACCCAAGTCAGTGACTGAGCACATCTCAAGATTTGAGGCAGGGGGGAAAAAAAGATTTGAGACAGAAAGAGAAAGGGTTAAGATCACATAGTCCCCATCAAGGACATTCCTCAAGTGACCTGAGGACCTCCCACTAGGGTCTCCCAGTATTTCACCCCAGGGAGTGAGCTTTATTTAACTTTGGACCTTTGGAGGGCCTTGAAGATCCAAACGAGCCTTTGTGAGAGCCCTCTCCAACAGACACTGCTGCCCCCATATTTTGGAGGCCCATCATTCTAGTAAAGGGTTTTTGTAAATCTGGCAGTTTCTATTATATTAAAGATAGGATCCTGGGGCTGAGGTAGAGTGCTTCCTTCCCATGCTGAGTGTGATCTCCAGGACAATATAAGCCCAGTGTGTTGTCTTGTGCCCTGTAATCTCATCCCTTGAGAGGTAGAGACAGGAATATCAGAAGTTTGAGGTCATTCTCAGCTACGTGTAGCCTTGGCTACATGGAACCCCATGTCAAAGCAAAACAAAACACAAAATAATTTAGGGGAAAATTGAACTGTCTTAGCCAGATTGCTATGAGAGAGGGGGGGGCGGGGCGGGGTTGGAAATAATGCTGCTGTCATTTGCAAAATACGGTCTCATCCTGCCACCTGGTGGTGAGTCTTGGTAAAGAACAGTGCTGGTTGCTCCTAAAAATTATTCCTTCTTTTAACAATGTCATTCAGAAGCTGAGTGTGCTGGCACAGATCTGTAACCCCAACATTGGAGAGGCAGAGGCAGGAGTTGTTCAGGTTCAAGGCCAACCTGAGCTGCATAGGAAGTTCTGTCTCAAAGACACACACACACACACACACACACACACACACACACACACACACACACACACACACTCACTGACTAGTTGAAGGTGAAGGGCTGTCACTTTCTGGTAGTTCTTGCCCAGCACTTGCCAGGCCATGAGTTCCATCCTTGAACTTTAGAGATAAAGGCCTTTTGACATTTGTTTGTTAACAGTGTTCCCTAGAATGGTGGAGGAATCATAGTTTACAGTATTAATATAGAATATAGACAGAGACGATGTCTTTCTGCCTGTCTGCAGGCTAGAGTCATTGGCCATAAGTAATGAGCACCAGCTTTGAGCCCTTCCCAGCACTATGGTGAATCTTTGGTAAATGCTCCTAGTTTTATGGGATTCTGGCTCAGAAGATGCCATTCAGGTATCTTGGCAAACTGGGAAGTCTTGAACTTTTCCAGGTCTCCGTTGTTCCTAAGAGTAAGGAGTGACTAGCTGCCTGATAGGATTATGGGAGCCACGTAGTAACTTATGTTAACTGTTTTGAAATTATCCTTTTAAGTATGCGTTTTGCCTACATGTATGTTTGTGTGCCGTTGTGTGTGCCTGGTGTCCAAGGAGGCTTGAAGAGGATATTGGGTCTCCTGAAACTGGAGTTATAGATGGATGTTGAGTTGCCATGTGGATGCTGGGAATCGAAGTATGGTCCTCCTGTCCTCTGGAAGAGCAATAAGTGCTCTTAACCACCGAGCAATCTCTCCAGCGACTATCCCAGAAATCTATTTTTATACAACACTGCATTATACTTTCACAAGAAGTTGAGAAATTCTTTGAATAATTAGATTGGTTTCACGTTATTTTTTTTTGAGACAGTATTTTATTCCAGGCTGACCTTGAACTTCTGGGGGCTGGAGAGATGGCTCAGCAGTTAAGAACACTGCCTATCTATCCTTCCAAAGGTTCTGAGTTCAATTCCCAGCAACCATATAGTGTCTCACATCCATCTGGAATGAGATCTGGTGCCCTCTTTTGGCCTGCAGGTATACATGCAGGCAGAAAACTGTGTACATAATAAATAAATAAATCTTGAAAACAAACAAAAAAACCTTGACCTTCTGACCCTCCTGCCTCCACCTCCCAAGTGCTGGGATGACAGTGCAAACCACTGCACCTGTTTATGTAGAGCTAGTGGCCAAAACTAACAGCTTCAGTCACCAGTCCTTTAAGACTTGAGTCCCAGGATATCCTAACAGTGGTGAGCTCCATTCAGGGTTGGCACCAAGCCCTATATGGTTTGAATCTACCAGGTGCAAGAGACTGAAGCCAGGTAAAGCCCAATAAGGCACACAAATGACACTGAGATGTATTTGAGAATTGTCTAGCATGGGCTAAATCCCACAAAAGACATAAAGAAAATATAAAGATGAGTCATGGTTTGCTTCACCCACTTGTACAAAATTGGTACCAGAAGTTGCAGACTTGATAAGGGTGAGCACACATGGCTGAAAGGAACTGGGGTTCTGGGAGGTGTAGTAGGCTGGGCAGGTTATGTAGATCCCTGGTACTGTAAAGAACAGGGAGGAGTGTCATTTGATTTGATGTGGTAGAACGGTCCAGGTGAAGATGCAATAGTTATGGTCAGGTCACCCACACTCTCAGCCTCTGTGCAGAGAATCTGTGTTATCTGGTGAGCACCGAGGAGCCAGGAACCTGTGTGAACAGAGGGACAAGCCAGGCTCAGAGCTCTGAAGAAGAGATTTAGAAGGCAAGACCTCAGGAGGAAAGTTGCCAGCTTAGGTGAGGTGAGGGTGGACAGGAACTGAAGACTGAGCCTGATTGAGTAAAAGTCCAGGGTGTGAAGAGCACCCGAGAGCTGGTCGCATATCCTGTCTGTCAGCCACTGCCTTGTGCCAGACAAGGGGGCTGGGAGAAGAGGTTCCACTGTTGGCTTGGTACATGGTTTGCCAGTGGATTGTCATGGTAGCACTTGGGAGGCTGAGCTAGAGAAGCAT